GCGCGGTTTCCTCGCATACCGGGCGGCGAAAATGGCGGCTGTATGGAGGTTTTCCACATAGCGGTGAGTTTTCCCCCCATAGGAACGCATTAAATGTGTTTTAATGCGTTCCTATGCGGTTTTTTGCCCCGCATAGCGAGGAATCCGGATAGTGACAATTTTTTTGGCACGGATTATCGTCGCTATGCGGGACACAACTGTCTTTGATTTATGCCCCAATTGTATTATTATTATTTTTATATGTATAATTTAGTTTTTCTGTTGTTTGTTTATCTGTTGTAAACCGCCCAGAGTGGTCCTGGCTGCCAGATATGCGGCATATCTATCAATCAATCAGTCCAGAGTGGTCCTGGCTGCCAGATATGCGGTATATCAATCAATCAATCATCATCAACAACAGCAATAACAACAACAACAAGAAGAAGAAGAACAGCTTCTTTTAGATGAAGGTGGTAATACGCAACAAAAACAATGGCTTTGAGACTATGCATTGTATGAGAAATACCATGTATTCTCAGTTCCATTGTATGCTATGGAATTGTGGACTTTAATATAAGCAACTACTGTATTTTAAAAGGCAGAAGCATATTAAATGTGGATTCATTACAGGATTTCTTGGATTGAGAGGATGATCAGAGACGAAGTACTGAAAGAAATGTATGAAAACCAAGACATTATAGAACATGCAAATGCAAGCCAGAATACATCCTATCATATAAGAAAAAACAGAAAGCACAAATGATTAAAGTTGATCATTCAAGATAAAATAAATATTCAATAAATACACAGGAGGGAGAATGACTTATTTGTTGAAGAAACAACTTTGCAGCACAGTATTGTCATTGAGGCCTGCTGTCAGCACAGTCATGTCAACTAGAGGAATTTAAAAAAAAGTGGGGGAAGGGAAAATTAACTAACCGCCTTGTCAAGCACTATCTCATAAGCCATAATGTGGCCTCAATCCATTTTGCTTCCCGTTTCCTTCAGCATTTAAATATATGTCACACAGCCTATTTTTGCCTGATGGTGGCACCCTTCACCAAGAAATCTGTCTTGGCAGTAGAAGGGACCCAAGGCAAGGCGGGCAGCTTTGAATTAGTTGTTGGAAAGCAAGGCAGGACATGGCAGAGGTCCCTGATCTCTGTTTCTAATTTCCGATTCCCTCTCCTGCTCCACTGTTGTGCTGAAGGCAGTGACTTGGCTGCAGCAATCTATAACTAGTGCATGATGGCTGTAGCTGCTGGAAGTCGCCCAGCTGAAAATCACCTGAGAAGAACAGGTGACAGAAGCCCCAAGTGGCCAAAATCTGGGTGCTGCTAGAGCTGAGGGAGTTGCCCTTTGCCACTCTGGTTGGAGCAGCTATAGAACAGGCAAACATCCCTCCGAGGCAACTGCTGTCTTCTGGAGGAGAAGAAGAGGAAAGAGAAAGCTGTTGTGGCTTTTGTAAAAAAGGGTCTTACTCAGTTCTTCAAAAAACCTCCAGTTTATTAATTTATTGTACTTCTGTATACAGTGTACATGGTTCAAAACTCTAGGAAATGGCCCAATGTTGCTGCATAACATTGTGCCCGCATTGCCAACAGGAAGAAGGGTGCCAAGCTTTACATACCAAAGTGTTATGGTTAGGGTGAATTTTGACAACACCAATGGCAGCAGTCAAGATGGCCTTCAGGATACCTGCTTGTATCAGTACCTTCGCAAAGTGACACTTAAGTAAGGGAAAATCCGAGAAGTTGACTCCTTACCACTTCTTACCCAAACGCAAAGCAACTGATGGCTATTTATCAAAAAGTGTGCATAGTAGTGAGTACAAGAGGGTAACTGTCTTGTAAAATGTCTTCTCATCTTCCGAAATTTTTTAAAAAGGGAAAACTGTGAGTTAGCAAAAATCGTCACTGGAAACCAAAATCATCCATTATATGCGAAAGAAAGAAAGTTGAAGAAAAACAGGGACAAATTTGAAATGTGGAGTCGGAGAAGATACAGACAGCCAGGCAACTAGAAAAGTGGGTGCTCAATCGAGTGAAGCCTAAATTCTCACTAGAACAAAAGGATTAAACTGAGGCTAACCTACCATGGACATAGAATGAAAATACAGAACTGACCAGAAAAGAATATAGCTGCTGAAAGGGCAGTAGGAAGAAAGAAAGACCTAACATGAGATAGATTGCCTCAATAAAGAAGCCATAGCTGTTAGTTACTGGAGAAAACACAATATTGTGGGGGAGGGCATTAAAAAGAGAACAACCTAACATGGGATGCTGTTGGTTTGCAAGATCTGTGCAGTGCTGTTAGCACCTTTTGAAAGTCATTAACCCATATAGTCATCACACATCAAAAACAGCTTAATGACATATAACATCTTTGAATATTTTTTTAATTACTAGAAAATTGTATAGTGACAAGATGTATGGAAGGCTGGAAACTATGACAGGATATAGGAACCAAAGCTCTGCTAATATCAAGTAAGACCATCCCCAGCCATAAAGAAAAAAAACATACAAAGCACAAAACACCACAACCCTCACCCCAATAATTCCACAGTTTAATAAGTGAACTTCTGAATATTTATTCTTTTAAAAATCTTTTAAAATATTTTTACAACCAGACACAGAATCTCTTTTCCAGCACCAATCCCTTTTTGGCCCGGAAAAAGTTAAACTGTTCACCTTCTGAAA